CGCCAGAGCAAAAGAACAGGCTGAGTTTCCTCTGCTCACAGTCTGCTTATAATAGCTCATAACCTTGACCCAAGCAAAAGGTAGCTGGCCTCAGTCCCCCACGTCGACGGCCTGGCCACCGGAGCGTGCCTTGAATATTACAGAAGCTGCCAAAAGTCACTAGAAGTTTAGAAAAGCAGCTGCCTCTGCAGCCAAGAAAACAAGGCATCTGGGTGAACTCTGGTGAAGGATACGTTCACTTCTGTGTTAGTGTTAATGAGTGTGCAGATGGATGGCCTGGGGTGCACGTGACATACCCCGAACCCTGTCCTTGCTGGACACACCCACATAGGCTCCCCTGGCTGACCTTTCTCTGGCCTGCTCCAGCTGTGGTTTACAGAGAAGTCTGGCCTGACCCACCGCCCCTTTATTTCCTGAGGACAGAGGCTCGAACATCAGTTCTTTCCTCTGCCCTGAATGTCTCCTAGAGAATGGATAGGGAACCGGAGTCGGGGCGAGGGGCAGGAATCAGAGAAAGAGGGGGGGGGGAAGAAATAAGAACTAGGTTAGAATTAAGATTCCTGAGCCCCTCGACCAGTAATATAGCTAACATTTTTGGAGCCCTTACTTGATATCAGACACTGTACTGTAGTTGATATTCAATCCTTCAACACAACCATGAGTTCAGCTTAAAGACGTCCATTTTACAGAAGTCAAGTGTGTTCAAGAATTACGTTACCTCGGCCCAGCTCCTTCTCAATTTAACCAATAACTGTGACCCTACAGTTAAATGGGAAGTGGACTTGCACAAGATCCTCCCCACCCAGCACTCCTGTGAGTGTGGAGGGGGAAGGAGGACATTTTGCCCATTCGGAGAGCTGCTTAGTCACGAGGACTAGAGGAGAGCGGAAGGCCACTGGCATTTAGTTGGGGGAAGACAAAGATGCTAAACATCCCATGTTGTGAAGAATGACGCTCTGGCTGGGAGTCACTCAACCTCAGCTCCCCCCACTCTGTAGCGTAGACCATGTCACCTGCACAATCAGGTTATAATGAGGATCGAATGACAAGTCATGTGGAAGGCACCAGCTCCCCCCCCGGGCAGCAGGCCAGGTCAGAGCCCCAGCCACACCCCTGGGCTCTGTACCATTTCTGAGCAAGCTGGCCTCGCCTCTGCCTCTCTTTTTCTGAGAGCTCTGTGGCTCTGAAGGTGTGCTGTGCCCTCCCATGACAGGGCAAGCTTGAGGCATGCCACACCCTCAACCAAGACTGCCAGAAGCTGCTGTTCAAGAGGCTCATGTGCACACTGTTTCCGGAGTTCTCCAGCAGGACTAGGGTGACCTAGGGTGGTAACCAGCTTCCTTCCCTTCTCTGTGTCACTGGCCCTCTCCTTCTCATGCTTCCTGGGATAACCTCCCGGTTAAGCCATTTGCTCCCAAACCCTGTCTCTGGGTTGCTTCTTGGGAAACCCTATTTAAGACACTGACTAGGGGCGCCTGGGTGGCTCAGTGGGTTAAGACTCTGCCTTAGGCTCGGGTCATGATCTCAGGGTTCTGGGATCAAGTTCCGCATTGGGCTCTCTGCTCAGCAGGGAGCCTGCTTTCCGCTCTCTCTCTGCCTGCCTCTCTGCCTACTTGTGATCTCAGTCAAACAAATAAATAAAATTTAAAAAAAAAGACACTGACTGAACAGTTGAATGTTAATTTCCTTTCCTCCACATCTTTGTTGTTTATATGTCTTTTCAATCTAAAGCTCCTATAATGAAAGGGTTTGTGTCTTCTTGCGTGGGTCCTGCTGATTTTAATAACTGCGGATGGCAAATTATGTTAGTTCCCCTCTCCGGCTCGTTAGCAACATTATGAAAAATCAGGTGGAGAGGGAGGTCCATTAAACCCCACACACTGAAAAGAATTCCTTCCCGGACATTTCCGCTTTAGGACTAAGAGCCCCACCACCCACTGCCAAACCAAGAAGGCGGGGGGGCCCTTGTGGGGCAACAGCGAGAGACATCCGTGTGGGCCCAGGGGTGCTGAGGGGTGGTGTTGGGGAGGCCTCCACTGCCTCCCTGTAAACACAGAGCTGCAATGGCCACACGGCACCCAGGAGTACAGATAGCAGTGCTCCCGGCGGTCGGAGGGGAGACATCAGGAAGGTAAACAGCCTTGCCCCTGAGAAAGGAGCCAAAGCTCTGGCTGAAGGGACGGCCAAACAGGGACACCGCCAGAGCCCATCAGGCCTCCGGGAGCTCCAAGCAGGTGGCACGAGCCGCATTAAGGAAGGGCCTGCTTTGAAGCTGGTTCTCTGTCTCTTGTGTGAGTTCCGAATTCACTTTCACTCCCTCCCCACGGCAATTTTATTTCTTCCAAGTTTCTGGCCCTTTCCGGGAAGCGAAGGCACACCCGAACGGCTTGGAGAATGTCCTGAAGACACACGCTTCGGCCATCCTTGCTGATGGGGAGGCCACCGTCACTCCACAGCCACTGCCGGGGACCTTTCAGCCCTCTCGCCTGGGATGTGTGATGGGCCACCGAGGGCGGTGGCTGAGGGACAAACCTGGTCATACCACACAGATGGGTCCTGCTGCGCTCCCATCAGGCGCTCTGGTCTCACCCTGCACTCATGCCTCCGGGAGCGGGGCCTCCACCGGTTTGTCACAACTGCAGAGGACGCGCATGGTAACAAACGCTCGGGGTTTGGGGATTACCTGCAATCATGCACGTCAGGAGCCCACAGCAGTTCCCGATGTGTAGTGCCCAAGTCGCAGGTGTCATTGAGGAGCCACTGCAGAGTGGTGGCAGGCTCGGGCTGGAACGCTTTCTCACGTCCTCCCCAGACGCTGGCACAGACAGCGGCCCATAGCACAGGCCTGGTAAATGTCCGCCCGAAAGCACGAGCAAACAGAGCTGTGCTGAAGGTACTGTCTAAAGCGGCCGTTTACTGCGCACTTGCCAGATCCCGGGTCCTGGCTGAGTGTGTTGGAGAGAGCCCCTGATTTTATCTGTTTTTAGCTGATTCCCTACTTTTGAGGTTTCTTCCCCTGGGAGAGAGCACCCCCTGCTGAAAACACTCCGGCTCTCTCCCTCTCCCTTGTGCCTTTTCGGGGCGACTCATCCCCCATTGGTGAGTTGGGAGGAACTGAGCATGCGCAGCAGAGCCTCTGCCCTCCTGCCTCCTTTCGGGAGCTAGCCCTCCTGCTCCCCACGCGTGTTCCTGGGGTGGTGCAGGTCCAGGGCTGCTGGTGGCCAGGTAAGCTGTCAGTCCTAGGACTCAGGATCAGGAAATCCTGTCAATTCAAGCTACACGTTATGATCTGGCCTTTATCACTAGTAAAGATGATCTCCTCTTTACATCTACAAGGACTCTTATTAATTCAAGAATTGGTTCAGGCCTTGTTGGGGAAGGGCAGTACTATTTTTTGACTCCTTATTCGACGTTAACATAGTCTCTGCACCGATACCATGGTGGGTTTTTGTTGTTTTTTTTTTAAGCATAGGGTAATGGACTTGCCTAAGGTCACACAGGTGAGCTAGGATTCAGACTTAGGTGTTTCTGACTCCAGAGAATGGCTCCTACCCTATACTGTATGCCTCATCAGAAAGCTTCTGTCTCCACCACGCACTGGAGTGCATTTCCAGTCTTCAGAGAAGAGGGCGAAGGGAACCTTCAGGATCACCTGCTCAGGGGACCCCGGCGGGCCCTGCCCCACGTGCCTCCCAAGGGAGGCCTCGGCAATCATCGTTTCAGGGGGCCTGTTCCCCAGCCGGGGCCTTGCCTGGAGTCTTCGTCTATCGCAGGAGCTCCCCCACCTTCACATTCTCTCCTCTCCACTCTTCGTCACTTGGCAAAAATATCCCAAACCCTGAAGGACCTGAAACTCCAATATAACCCTCCATGAGCATGTTCAAGTTTCTCCTGGCCGGCTCTCTTAGTATTTTATTTATTCCTGGATGCTCTCACGGCAACTGGAGCTTCAGTCCACATTCATTTTTCAAGTGACATGTTGGTGCTGCTCTGTGGCACCACGGTCGGGAACAGAGGACGCCTCCGACTTTCCTATGCAATCTCCCCTTCAGGACATTGGCAACACTCCTCACACGCTCCCATGTGCTGGGTGTCTGCAGAGGCAAGGACCTTATAGTCTGGTAGGGACTCTGCCTCCTCTTCATTTTTCTCTCCCTCTTCTTCCTCCTTCACTTCTTTTTCAAGTAACAACCTAGCTTTTTGCATCTGAAATATAGTGCCTGGTTTTAAACTCCAAGGATTTGGAATCAAAGGGGATCCTACTTTTCTAACACTATTGAAGAAGCCTGAAGGCACAGAGAGGTTAAGGGACTTGCCTTATCGAAGGTCCCACAGCAAATGAGTCGCTCAGCCAGACTAATCTCTTGACTCTTGGTCCAGTGCTCATCCTAGAATGCTGTGTTTAAACTGGGTCTGTAGGCTTGACTTAAGGACTGTGTAATTAAGTGAAGCAAGCACATCCCATTCTCCACCCTGTAGAAAGCCAAGTTCTGCTGGATCCCCTCCATCAGGTCAGACACGATCTCCTACCTCCCTGCCCCTTGTTCTCTTTTCTCACCATTATGCACTGACCCAGGGCCTTGATTCTGGCTCTCTGCTCAGACCAAACACCCTTAGCAGGTCTTTTCATAGCTCCCTGATTGTTCAGCTCCCTATATAATATGTTATTGATTGGTAGTTTTTAGGACCGAGGTAGTTTCTGGCACTGAGCATAGGGTGGCAGTCTCTCTGGATGGCTGCCTGGAGATCCACAAGGACCGAACACCCTGGATTCATGGCAAGCTGTCCCGCATGTACCTGGATTCGAACACTCTTTGAAACATAGCACATCTGAGTCCTGAAGGAAGAGGAGCCTCCCCAGGACAGTGGGGCCCCATCTCCTCCTATACCAGGTTGATGGATGAAAACACGGGGAATTGGATGGACCTTTGAGCAGTCCAGGCAGGACCAAGGCACTCTCTCCAGCACCCTGTTCTTACCAGCTAGCAGATTTTCTCCATGAGCAGAAGCCTCCTGCTTGGGGAACCACACCCTCACTAGGGCCCCACACTCCATCAGACCACCTCAGGAATGCATGCTGTTGGCAGTCACTCCAGCTTCCATCTGCAAAGATAAGGAGGCAGCTGTTAAGATAAGAACACAGCTTGGTTCACCCAGGAGTCAGCAAAGAATGACCTGCCTTCTGATCATGGAGTTTGGGATATCAGTGGTGAGGGGGTGGAGGGCATATTTCCAGGCCCAGTGGTCCCCTTTCTGTGACCTCCAGCATCACAAGCCTCTGGAAGCCCCAGAAATCCTTCTCCCACCACATGAACCCCTCAGTCAAGAGAAGAGAGAGTCACCACACCAAGACAGCCTCGTATTTATCTTTCCTACACTCTCACTGAGATGCTTGGATGGCAGCCCAGGCCCTTTCCTGTCCTCGGCCCAAGCCAGGAACAGCTCTGTCTGTGAAGAGAGGAGCAGCCAGTCACATACTAGGTTGCACTACCTTTATTCTATAGGGGAAAATGCCCTTGAGGCTGCCCAGTGCTGCCCATCCCTAAAGATGGCTCTAGTGCGCATGCTTCGTGATACATTACATATTATATTACTTTATTACTATTGTTATTATTATTATTTGAATCAATGGATAGCATTAATAATATTATGTGTTAGGCACTATTTGAAATATATTCCGTGTATCAATTAATTCTCACGATAGGACTCTATGAGGTAAGTATTGTTATTACATCCATTTTCAGATGTGGAAACTGAGGCACGAAGTGGTAACTTTACAGAAGAGTAGGAAGCTAGTGGGTGGTAGAAAGGGGATTTTTTTTTTTTTTTTTTTTGACAGAGAGAAAGATCACAAGTAGGCAGAGAGGCAGGCAGAGAGAGAAGGGGAAGCAGGCTCCCTGCTGAGCAGAGAGCCTGATGTGGGGCTCGATCCCAGGACCCTGGGATCATGACCTGAGCCGAAGGCAGAGGCTTAACCCACTGAGCCACCCAGGCGCCCCTAGAAAGGGGATTTTAACTAGGCCATTTGGCTACAGAGCCTCTAAGTTATTGAAGCTATGAATTTTCCTGTTAGCGTAACTTTAGCTATAGCCTTGAGTTTGCTGTTTGTACAGTTTTCACTGTACTAACTTTCTAAATATTCTAAAGCTTCCATTTTTACCTCACTCTGTTAGAAAGAGTGTTGAAATTTGAAGTGGTTTGGGGTTTGTTCTTTTTGCTCATTCGCTTGTTTGCTTTTATGAATTAGAACGTTCTGATTATAAGGAAAACAACTCCAGCTGACTTGAGTAAAAGAGGAGAACTGGTTATAAGGATAGAAGAGCTTTGTGTATTTCAAGGGCAAGAGTGAAGGTAACAAAGATACATAGTGAGGGGCGCCTGGGTGGCTCAGTGGGTTAAGCCTCTGCCTTCGGCTCAGATCATGATCCCGGGTCCCGGGATCGAGCCCCGCATCGGGCTCTCTGCTCAGCAGGGAGCCTGCTTCCCTTCCTTTCTCTCTGCCTGCCTCTCTGCCTACTTGTGATCTCTCTCTGTCAAATAAATAAATAAAAATATTAAAAGAAAAAAGATACATAGTGATTCAAAGGGGCACCTGTACCCCAATGTCCACAACAGCCCAACTATGGAAAAAGCCCAGATGTCCATCGACAGATGAATGGATAAAGAAGATGTGGTACACACACACATATACACACACAATGGAATATTACTCAGCCATCAAAGAAAGAGAAATCTTGCCACTGGCAACAATGTGAGTGGACCTAAAGGACAGTATTATGCTAAGCGCAATAAGTCAACCAAAGAAAGACAATTATCATATGATTTCCCTCATATGTGGAATTTAAGAAACAAAACAGAGGAGCATAGTGGAAGGGAGAGAAGAATAAAACAAGATGAAATCAGAGAGGGAGACAAACCATAAGAGACTCAACTCTAGGAAACAAGCTGAGCATTGCTGGAGGGGAGGGGGGCTGGCGGGAAGGGGTAGCTGGCTGATGGGCATTAAGGAGGGCACTTGATGTAATGAGTTCTGGGTGTCATATGCAACTGATGAAATCACTAAACTCTATCTCTGAAACGAATAATACAGTATATGTTAATTAAATTCAATTTAAATAAAGAATTAAAATGTAAAAAAATAATAATAAAAGAAAAAAAGAGTGAAAATGAGACTTAGATAGACAGATATTAGTGACTGGAAAATCATCAGGAGCCTCCCTCCTGGTCTAATCTGTTCCCTCCTATGTGTCTGTTCCATTCTCTCTTTATTTCTCTCTCTCTCTTATCTCCCCCAACCTATTTCTTCTGTCTTCAGTTCACATGGCAGGAGGTGATCACTGATAATTCCCAAGTTTATATACTGTGAGTCCAGCCATCTGGGAGAAGATGCTCCTTTCTGTGTCTTGATCCCAAATTCCCAGGGAAGGATTTCTGTCCCATCTTGCTCAAGTGCCTAATCCTAAATCAATCAGTCAAGGCCAGGAAGGTGGGGGTCAAATTGTATTACATGGTTACTGGAATCCCAAAGCATCTGGGAGACATAGTTATACATAGTTATGTTACTCAACTGGAAACACAAAAAGATGTCCACTGTTTATTTTTTTAATTGTATTATTGATTTCTTGGTTTACTACATTGTGAACATAAAGTGCACTCTGTTTTGTTTTTGCCTTTAGGAACTTACAGAGATTTACTCAATTATGGTTTTTTTCTCATTTGTTTTCATACAAAGAAAGATGTGGTAAGGTTTCCTGCCTCTATTGTTTCTGTCAATTTTTTACTATATTTTAATGCTGTCTTGTTTGGCACATAAGGTTTCGAGTATGTTGCATTCAGTTTAAGAATGAGCATTTGGGGGCGCCTGGGTGGCTCAGTGGGATAAGCCTCTGCCTTCGGCTCAGGTCATGGTCTCAGGGTCCTGGGATCGAGCCCCACATCGGGCTCTCTGCTTAGCGGGGAGCCTGCTTCCTCCTCTCTCTCTGCCTGCCTCTCTGCTTACTTGTGGTCTCTGTCAAATAAAAAAATAAAATCTTTAAAAAAAAAAAAAGAATGAGCATCTGTTCTCTGGGATGTTTAGTAAAATCATAGACTCTTGGAGTTGGAGGAGATCTCAAAGACATTTAGTTCATGCCCCCTTCAGAAACTTGACTGTCCTCTCTAATGTTTCCCTAACTGGCCAGTCAGCCATGTTCGAACTCTTCCAGTGATAATGAACATGTGTCCTTCCTTCTATCTGAGAAGCCTGCCCGTTACTGGACTCCTCTGACAATCAGAAGGTTCTTTCTCAATGGACTGGATGGACTCTGCCTTCTTGTCACTTCTCTTTCTCGGTTCTCACTTTGAGCATTTTCTCTGCTGTAGTAGCCCTTCACATCTTTCAGGTCAGTTTCTAGAAACTGATCTGAAACACAAAACCAGAGCCCCTCTTTCCAGAAGCTTTCCCTGGTAGCTTCAAATGTAACATATATCACAGATTCTGAAATGCCAGTTGGGAAAGAAATCCTTTAACCCTGAAAGTCTCCTTGTTTCTGTCCCTCATTTTTAAAAGTGAGGGTATGTTTTCTTTGCCTCCATTTTCTCTAATTTCATCACGGGTTCTAGAAACAAGATTACAAATAGTGATTCTGCATGGGGCAGGGTAAGAAACAGAGAAGCAAGAGAGAGAAAGTAAGAGAGAAGGGAGAGGGCTACAGTGTTTACATGCAGGAGGATGCCTTCAGGGTGCTGGTGGGCAGGCAGTGCTGTAGAAAACAGCCACCTGGAGAGACTGCTGACCATCGGTGAAAAATTGCTCATGCCTTGTCAGTGAATGAAGCTTTGGTGTCAGCAGTAGATGTCATAAAGAAAATTGCTGCTCAATGTCCACAATAGCCAAACTTTGGAAAGAACCTAGATGTCCATCCACAGATGAATAGATAAAGAAGATGTGGTGTATATACACAATGGAATACTATGCAGCCATCAAAAGAAATGAAATCTTGCCATTTGCGACAACGTGGATGGAACTAGAGGGTATTATGCTGAGCGAAATAAGTCAATCAGAGAGAGACAATGATCATATGATCTCCCTGATATGAGGAAGTTGAGAGGCAACGTGGGGGGTTTGGGGGTAGGAAAAGAATAAATGAAACAAGATGGGAGACAAACCATTAGAGACTCTTAATCTCACAAAACAAACCAAGGGCTGCTGGGGGGAGGGGGGGAGGGGGGTTATGGACATTGGGGAGGGTATGTGCTATGGTGAGTGCTGTGAAGTGTGTAAACCTGGCAATTCACAGACCTGTACCCCTGCGGCTAATAATACATTATATGTTAATTTTTTTAAGTTAAAAAAAAAAAAAAAAAAAAAGGAAGATTGCTGCTGTCCGGGTTGCCCATCTGAGCATCATCATCACAGGTGGACAGTCATGGTGTTTGTGTGTGCATGTCTTCTCCAACTACACCCAACTAGGGTGTAAGCTCCATGTAACCAAGGATTTCCAACCACCCCCCATTCACTGCTGCATCCTCAGTGCCTGGAATTGTACCTGGCACGTAGGAGGCACTCAATAAAATCTGTTGAATAAATGAATGAATTCACGCAGCTCAGCTTTCTTAATCATTGTGCCCCTTCTCCCCACCTTTGTCAACAAGTCATCTGTTCTTTCTCGTCCCTTTGATGCAAGAGGAAAACCCACTTTAACCTCCCACCCCCTGCATGCTTATCTCGGCACATCCTCAGACTTTGTCGGTGGCTTCACGAGGGCACTATTGATAGAGAAAAGAATGGAAACGTAATTAGAGAATATTGAGCTTCCTTGGTTCCACCCTTGAAAAATGTAACTTTCTGGTCCCTAAAACTCCCATTTTACTAACTTCTTTAGTTAAAAACACTTGTATTAGTTTTCTATGGCTGATGTAACAAACCATCTCAGCCTGGTGGCTTAAAACAACAGAAATTAATTTTTCTCCCTGTTTTGGAAACCAGAAGTCCAAAATTGAGGTGTCAGCGGGCCCCCACTTTCTCCAGGAACTCAATGAGAGAATCCAGACTCTGACGGCTGCCAGCATTGCTTAGCTGGTGGGCACATCACTCCATTACTTACAGGACAGCATCTTTACAT